CGCCATGCATGTGAATGACACTTTAAAGAGATCATGAGGTTTGTCAGTCTGTATCTCCAACAGGCATTCTTCATTCCCAGAAAATTTGTGGAAGAGCACCAAGCTTATGGGAAACTGCTGAACTGAACAAGACAGAGTTCATATACTCCAAAATTATAGCTTGGAAACCAGCATAGGTCTGATACAGACAGCATGAATATGGGTGTCAGTTAGGAGGACTGGTTAATCTATGTGGCCTCTGTTAGTGGATCAGGATTTATCCCTATTTCATGAATGAACTTTGGGAGACCAGTCCACAAAAAGAAAACTGTCTCAGCCTAGACCAAAGGGAGAGGCCCTAGGCCCTGCTCCAAATGATATGACAGACTTTGAAGAACCCCCATGGAAGGCCTCACCCTCCATGGGAAGCAGAAAGGGACAGGAAAAGTGTTTGGTGGGGAGCAGGGGAAATTGGTGGCATCATGGGCATGGCTCATTTTCCATCATCGAGATGCTCTCAAGGAACAAAATCCATGCCAATTTTCAAGGCCAAGGTTAACTGAGCCAACGTTATTCAATGATAGAAAAAATGGAAATAGGAAAGGATAATGAGGACAACACAGGATAGAGAAAAGACACTGCTAGCCACCTGAGCAGTGAGTGCACAGTTGCCATTCACCAGGTGTAGATAATGGACACAAACATTCAATCAGCCCATACTGCCTCACAGAAATCTTACACTGCCACAGAGGCCTTTCCTCCCCTTCCTGTAGTACATTCCTTCTGTTTACTCCAAAGCCTTTTCTGGAAGATCAGTAATTTTTCTCAACAAATTTGTGAAAACAATTGAGTTACAGTAATTTTATGTCCTTTTGTTCTAGAGAGCTGGGTGGAAATCTAGGAAAATCAGGGTAGCATACATTAGTTGATGGATACAAAATAAACAGGCACAGTACTGTCTCAATAAAAATGGACTTAATCATCATTAAAGATACTTCATGAATGAGTGAAAATATAAATTTGCATAAAGTGACAGAGAGATGTCTCAGTTGTTAAAGGCTAGGCTCACAGACTAAAACGAATATGCATAAAAAGTACATATAGGTGCACACAAACACTTACTTGTACATATAACTGCCTATATTCAGAGTCACCCACAGCAACACATATCAATACACATAAAGGAAAGTTGGTCACATATGTACAGAATAGGCCACGAAGGGCATATACACACACACCCATAAGGGCACACTAATGTGCAAAAGAGAGGCAGCAGACACATAAGAGTCCTTGAAGAAGATAACAGTGGATGATCACACAAATGAATGATTTATATGGGTTTCTGGCTGGTTACAAAAGTGTCTTCTTTATGGTTGGACACATGAGCAGCCTGCACATAGTTACTAAGCCTTCCTGATTCTGCTCAGCACTGGGGTCACAAATCTCATGAAACTCATTAAAAAGTATATTCACCTCCTCACGGGACACTTACAGGTCAATCTGCTCCTCTAACAGCTTTCTTTTCTTGAGTCTCAATACGTACATTTTTTTCAGTGGATGCAAAACTTGTAGGATCAGATGTTGAGGAAACTGAAAAACCATCCAAAAATGATGGGTTCCATTTAGCCTCCATTTGCCAACTCTACTGCCAAGTACCACCATCCCAGAACAGTACCAGGCTCTCCAGAGAGTCCAAGACTGCAGCTCACAGTATCTAAGGCAGAATCACACAGAGGCAGGGCAAATCAAAACAACAACCAAATCCTGTAACAACTCAAACTACATCTGAAAACCATGGCACCAAATGTGGTACTTTGCCCCCAAGGAAATGATGCAAATCCCACCTATGCTTAACTTTTCACAGTATAGGGAAAACATCAGTGTGCATATGGTAAACATTGAATAAGGGCAGAAGACACAGCCACAATGAATCAGTTCTATGAAACACAGATGTGTGAAGCAATTACCACCACACCTGAAGCCCTGGGGTGCATGGTATTCCCTTTGAGAAGCAAACCATTTTTAGATCTAAGGGATACTGATGCTGGCAGGATAACATTTGGAGGGGCGCAGTGTGGTTCATTCCTAGGAAAAGAGTTCAAGAGGCACAAGTCCAAAGTTCACAGGCAGGCTACTTGCTAAGAGACAGACAGGCTAAAACAAGAGCCCTCACTTTGGGTCGATGACAAAGAGGACAGAATCAGTCCATCTCAAGCTGCATCAGGCTCTTACATATAGTAATCATTCTCCTCAGTCAGCCACTTGAACTTTGTCAAGGCTTCAGTGAGCTCGACGTGCAATTTCTGTAGTTCCAACATAATCTGCATATGCTCTGTCTTATGTCTGTCTTTGAGTCTGAGATTTGTTAATTGTATGCAGCAGAAGGATGTGTTCTGTCTGCAAATCCATTCTGTTTACCTGTGTCTTTTATGGGCAAGATAAGACCATTAATATTGACGGATATTAATGACCATTGATTGCTCATTCTTGATTTTTTTGGAATGGTTGTTTGTGTTAGAATTATATGTGGATTTCCACATCTTTTCTCTTTTGGCTGCTCATAAACTGGGATATTCTATTGCATATGTTTTTCTGGTTGTTAATTTTCTTGGGTTGTAGTTTACCTTCCAGAAATTTCTGTAGGGCTGGATTAGTGAGTATGTATTGTTTGAATCTGCTTTTTTAATGGAATTTCTTGGTTTCTCCCGCTATAATAATTGAAAATTTTGCTGGATATACTAGTCTACACTGGCATGCATGGTCTCTTAATGTTGGTATAGTATCTATCCAGAACCTTCTGGCATTCAGAATTTTCATGGAGAATTCAGATGTGATTCTGATAGGTTTGCCTTTATGTTTTCATGTGATATTTTTCCTGAGATGCTCTTAATATTTTTTATTTATTTTGTATGTTTGGGGTCTTGATTATTCTGTGGAAAGGAGACTGTTTTTTGGTTCACTCAATTTGGTGTTCTGTAACCTTCTTGTACCTTCATTGGCATGTCTTTTTTAGGTTGGGATAGTTTTCTCCTCTTATTTTGTTGAATATGTTTTCTGCCCCTTTGTGATGGTTTCCTTCACCTTCTTATTCTATACCTATTATTCTTAGGTTTGGCCATTTCACATTTTCTCGTATTTGCTGGATATTTAGTGTTGTTGGAATCATGCTTTTCTTTGCTCAATAAATCTATTTTCCCTACTGTGTCTTTAACACCTGAGATTCTCTCTTCCATCTCTTATATTCTGTTGGTTATGCTTGCATCTTTGGTACTTGACTGTTTGACAGCTTTTCTATTTCCAGCCTTCATTCAGACTGTGTTTTCTTTTTATGGAAGGTGAGTATTTATTAAGTTGTTTTATAAATTTACATTTGTACTTTTTTATTTTCCAGTTTAAATTTAGATAAGAAACGAGGTTGCTTCACAAGTCAGTTCCAGGTCCCTCTCCCATTCCCTCCCCTCCTCCCGTGCCCTTCCCCCATCCCCCCCGTTATCCCCTCATTCCCCCAGGGAGGGTGAGGCCCTCCATGGGGGTGTCCATAGTCTGTCATTTCATATAGGGCAGGGCCTAGACACTTCCCCAAGAGTTCAGGGTGAGAGTGCATCTCACATTGTTCTATGGGAGTCCAAAGTCCGTGTGTATACTTGGGATGGGTACTGATCTGCTGCCCAAGGCTCAATAGATTGCCTAGGCCTCCTCACTCATACCCAGATTCTGGGGGTCTTGATCAGTCCCATGGTTTTAATGTCTCCATTTCAGCTTTCAACCTTTGCACTGTGGAAATATTTTTGTTATTTTTGGTTTCTGTTTTTCCTCTCTTCCATTTGTTGTAATTTTTTATTTGGTTTGATTTTCTTCCATTTCTTGCTTGCATTTTATTGCATAATTTCGTTTGTTTTAATTTTCCATTACTTTAAGGTTTTTTTCATAACCACTATGAGGGCCTTTATCATCTTCCTGAAGTTGATTTTAGGTTCTGTCTCTTGTCTGCTTCATCAACTTGGGCTGTTCTCGTCTTTCAGGTATAGAGTTTCTAGATACTGGGTATTCTGTTGCTGGGTGTGTTTTTATGTTGTCTCTTTCACATAATTTCTTCCAGTGGTTGCAAAAGATATTTTTTCCTTTCCTGATTGTTATATGACCACAGTTCCTTTCACGTTTGAGTGAGCAGCTCCAGTACTCTGGTGAATTTACTCTTGCATGGATGGAGACAGTACTATTACTAGGACCTTGGCAATCTTTGGTGTGGCTGGACCCTGTTGGGATTGGATTATCAGTGTGCAGTCCCCAGGTCTCTGGTGGTTCTGCTCTGGGCCCTGGAAGCCAGGCTGGAAACAGTCCCACCCTTACCTTGCTTGCCCTGTGTTTGCAGAGTGGGATTTGGATGCTGGCCGTCTCTGGATGCACTGGCTCCTTCCAGTATGGGAACTGCAGTATAGGCTAGTAGTGCACAGATTACCAGAAGGCAGACTGTAAACATGACCAGGCCTACCTATTCCCATGTGTGGAGAAAGGGACTGTGGTAATGGAAGTCTCTGTGTGCAGACCCCAGGTCTCTAGTCATTTTGCTTTTCTGATACACAGAATGTAGCATGAACCCAATGTCAGGCTGTGTGTCATTTATTTTTTTCATATTACACATTAGACTATGGGTATTATTGCCATTCACATCAAGACATTTACCATATGAATATTAAACATTTTATAATGAAACAATTTTTGTATAATGGATAACCATGCAATGCAAATATGTGGATGTACATAGAGAAAACATATATGGGAACATACACCCAGTTTACTTTTAAGCAATAGCACATTCAACTTATTCTAGTCATTGATATGTCTGGTCTATAAATCATTTCCATCTGTCTTTAGGGCACAAAGTGTTGAGTTTTCCTAGGTACAGAATTTCTTTCTTTTGGAGGCAAGACTGTTTACCAATCCCACAGATCTTAGGGAATTCTAACTTTCAAAACTGAGATTCTGAAATATCAATTGCATCTTCTGTTCTTTGCGTGTCCATGGTCAGAATATTCTTTGGTCAAGTTAATTTTTGCTTCTAAGACAAGACTGTTAGTAATCCAGACTGTGCTAATTGAACATTGAGTAGAGAAACTTTATCAGTCTCCATTTGCATCTTGAATTTCTGCAACCTCATATCCATGGCAGGAATTAATAATCTATGCATATATTCCTACCTAGAAAGAAAAAGAAAAGAAAAAATAGATAATGTCAATAATCCATGTAGGATATATTTGCAATTCAATGCAATATCACATAATATGTTCACATGGTATATTTTGAACACATGAACTAATGGGGAACTCTCTGGCAAAGAGTACTCATATTCAGGTGAATTTTTTAACAAATTTTCAACAACAAAAACATAGGTGGTTGGAATTGAAGTGCCTTCATTAACAACCAAAAGTATTAAATTGGGTTCAGGAATGTCATGTTTAGGTTTGAGTAGACATACTATTTGATGCTGTTTCCAACAGTGGCATTTCCACTATTCAAAATAAACCTGAGAGATAATATAAGCATCCTCATATCTGCAAAACTGTGAAGTAATGGAATTTTATATTGGAATATGGAAATCAAAGGGATGTTTTTGGAGATATTGGTGAGGAATCAATTTCTCACTGTGCCATGCTTTTAAGAAGTTTATTACTTACCCAGTGTGAGCTCCCATTGTGATTCCATGCACTCTTTCAAGTACACGTGTCAGCTTTGATTTAATTAATAATCAGATGTAATTGAAAATGACTGTGCAAAGTATAAAGCAGGTTGCTGAAGTCACAAACCCAGGTTTTATAGATAGCACTTATCTGCTGGAATAAAAGATCCCCCAATGCAGGAAAGGAAAAACTGAGGGTTGGTCACACTAATATTTCATGTTTTTTGCATCTCTGTTTTGTAACAAGTCACAAACTGAGGACATTTTTAAGCTGCTTTCCAGGATCTGAGTGTGAAAGCATGGACTGAAGGTGATTTTGCTTACACACAGAATAGCTCCAGGAAGGTAAAACCTTAAGATAAACTTCTTGAAAGGATCCATAAAGAAGGGGATTGACAGATGGCTTTATATATGTATATATATATATATGTATATATATATATATATTATTGAGCATGTAACTTTCAGTTTCCTCTCCCTCCACTTCCCCCATGCCCCAAAACTCCCAAGCACTCACACCTACTACATTGCCCTCTACTCCCAAGGGAGGGCAAGGTCCAACATGAGGGATTTTCAGAGTCTATCACATCATCCCAGTAAGGGCCAAGGTTCTTGCCCATGTGTCCTGGCTGAGAGAGCATCCATCCACGTGGTATCGGTTCCCAGAGTCCTTTACATGCCAGGAATAAATACTGATCGCCTCTCCAAGGAACCACAGATTTCCAAGGAATCCTCTCTGTTACCCAGGTTTGGTGGGAGGGTGTCTGGATCAGTCCCATGCTGGCCCCTCACTCTTCAGTCTGGTATCTATGTATGCCCCCTTGTTTAGGGCAGCTGTCACTGTGGATTTTCCCAGCCTAATCTTGATTCCTTTTGTCACCACTCTTATTTGCAACTGGGTTCCAGGATTTCAATTCGGTTCACAGCTGTGAGTGTCTGCCTCTGCCTCCATTAGCCACTGGATAAGAGTTCATGCTTGTCCTTTTGTGACTGGGTTACCTTACTCAGGTTGGTTTCTTCCAGTGCCAGCCATTTGCCTGTAAATTTCAAGATTCCATTTTTTGCTGAGTACTACATTGTGTAAATCAACCTCATTTTGTATCCACTCTTCAGTTGAGAGGCATCTATGTTCTTTCCAGGTACTGGCTATTACAAATAATGCTGCTATGAGCATAGTTGAGCAGATGTCCTTATTGTATGAGGGTACATATTTCGGGTATATACCTAAGAGTGGAATTGCTGGATATTGTGGTAGACTGATTTCCATTTTTCTGAGGAATCTCCATATTCATCTCCAAAGTGGCTGCACAAGTTTTCATTTGCACCAGCATTGGAGGAGTTTCCCCTTTCTCCACATCCTCTCCAGCATAAACTGTCATTTGTGTTTTTTATTTTAGATATCCTGCCAGCAGTGAGACGGTATCTCAGAGTTGTTTTTATTTCCTTTTCCTAATGGCTAAAGATATCGAGCACTTTCTCAAGTATTTCTTTGCCATTTTGGACTCCTATTTTGAGAATTCTCTGTTTAATTCTGTACCCCATTTTTAATTGGACCCTTTAGTGTTCTGGGGACTTCCTTCTTGAGTTCTTTGTAAATTTTGGAGATCATCCCTCTGTCAGATATAGCGTTTGTGAATATGTTTTCCCAGTCTGTGGGATGTCATATTGTTTTGTTGACTGTGTCCTGTGCACTGCAGAATCTCCTCAGGTCCCATTTATTAATTGTTGATCTCAGTGTCTGTGCTACTGTTGTTATATTCATACTAATTCGTTCAAGGATACTTCGCAACTATCTCCTCTAAGTGATTCAGTGTGGCTGGTTTGGTGTTGAGGTCTTAGATACATTTGGACTTAAGTTTTGTGCATGGCAATAGACATGGCTCTATCTACGTTATTCTATATGCCAGCACCATTTGTTGAAGATGTTTTCTTTTTTCCATTGTATAGTTTTAGCTTCTTTGTCAAAGATAAGTGTTCAAAGCCATGTGTGTTGATACCAGGGTCTTCTATTTGATTCCTTTGGTCTAGCTGTCTGCTTCTGTACCAATATCAAGCTGTTTTCAGGACTATAGCTCTATAATTGAGCGTGAAGTCATGGATAGTGATGCCTCTGGAAGTTCCTTAATTGTACAGGTTTCCCTTGGCTATCCTAAGTGTTTTGTTTTTCCATATAAAGTTGAGGATTGTCCTTTTAAGGTCGGTGAAAAATTGTGCTGGTATTTTGCTAGTGATTGCATTGAATCTGTAGATTGCTTTTGGTAAGATTGCCATGTTTACTACGTTGATTATACCTATCCAAGAGCATGGGAGATCTTTCAATTTTCAGGTATCTTCTTTAAAGACTCAAAGTGTTTGTTATACAGCTTTTCATCTGTTTGGTTAGAGTTACTCCAAGATATTTTATGGTGTTTTTGGCTATTGTAAATGCTGATGTTTCTCTGATTTCTTGCTCATCCCTTTTAATGTCTTCATATAGTTGGGCAACTGATTTTTTGAGTTAATTTTGTATCATGCCACATTCCTGAATGTGTTTATCTGCTGTAGGAATTTTCCTGGTAGTATTCTTTGGGTTGCTTATGTAGACTATCATATCTACTAAAAGTTTGATTTCTTCCTTTACAATTCGTATCCCCTTGGTGTCCTTTTGTTGTCTTATTGCTCTAGCTAGAACTTCAAGTACTATATTGAAGAAATATGGAGAGACTGGACATCCTTATCGTGTTCCCGATTTAAGAGGAATCGCCTTTTGTTTCTCTCCATTTAGTTTGATGTTGGCAGTTGGTTTGCTGTATATAGCTTTTATTATGTTTAGGTATGTTCTGTTTTCCCTGATCACTCTAAGACCTTTATCCTGAAGCGGTGTTGGATTTGTTCAAAGGCTTTTTCAGCATCTAGTGAGATGATCATGTCATTTTACTTTTTCAGATAGTTTATATGGTGGATTATATTGATGGATTTTCTTATTTTGAAGCATCCCTGGGATGAAGCCTTCTTGATCATGGTGCATGATATTTCTGATGTGTTCTTGGACTCAATTTGTCAGTGTTTTATTGAGTATGTTTGCATCAATATTCATGAGGGAGGTTAGTGTGTAATTCCCTATCTTAATTGTGTCTTTGTGTGGTTTGGCTACTAATGTAATTATATCCTCATAAAAAGAGTTTGGCTGTGATCCTTCTGCTTCTTTTTGTGCAAAAATTTGAAGAGTATTGGTATTAGCTTTTCCTTCAAATTTTCGTAGAATTCCCCACTGAAACCATCTGGCCCTGGACTTTTCTTGGTTGGAATAATTTTTATGGCTGCTTCTATTTCTTTAGGGGATATAGATCTGTTTAAAATGATTATGTCTTCTGAATTTAATTTTGTGAAGTGATATCTAAACAGAAAATCATCCATTTCTGATAGGGGAAATCCTGTGTATATGTGTATAAAGCACTGTTGGCCAATAGGGAAGCAAGATAGGTGGGACTAGTAGTCAAGCAGGATTCTGGGTAGGAGAAACACAGGGAATTAAGATGTGACTGCCATAGGGATAAGAAGCCCGGGAACTTTATTCCAGTAACAGAAATCTTAGATTAACAATTATGGGGTAAATACTTTAATCAGAGCTAGCCAGTAAGAAACAATCAAGGCCAACAACTTCATAATTAACATAGCATCCTGTTTGTTTATTTGGGACTGATGTGGCTTTGGAACCAGGCTGATGGGAAGGCTTCTCTTTACACATTTCCTTTGGATTTTCCAGTTTAGTAGAGTACAGGTTTTCAAAGTATAACAAGATGATTCTTTGGATTTCCCCAGTGTCTGTTGTTATGTCCCATTTTTCACTACCGATTTTGTAAATTAGCATGTTCCCTCTCTTTTAGTTAGATCTGATAAAGGTTTGTCTGTCTGGTTGATTTTCTCAAAGAAACAATTCTTTGTTTCATTGATTCTTTATATTGTTTTGTTTGTTTCTATTTTGTTAATTTCAACTTTCAATTTGATTATTTCCCAGTATCTACTCCTCCTGGGTGAGTTTGCTCCTTTTTGTTATAGAGACTTCATGTGTTCTGTTAATTCCCTAGTGTGGCAATTCTCGAGTTTCTTTATTTAGGCACTTAGTGCTATGAATTTTCCTCTTAGAACTGCTTTGAAAGTATCCCATAGGTTTGGTTATGTTGTGCCTTTATTTTCATTCAATTCTAGGAAATCTTTATTTCTTTCTTTACCCAAGGTGATGCAATTAAGCATTTTTCAATTTCTATGAGTTTTTGAGGTTTCTGAAATTTGTGTTGACATTGAATTCTAATTTTAAGCCGTGCTGGTCGACAGGATACAGGGGGTTATTCAATTTTTGTGTGTCTTTTAACGTTTGCTTTAATGCCAAGTATGTGGTCGATTTTAGAAAAGGTTACATATGGAGTGGAGAAGAATATATATTCTGTTTTGTTTGGGTGGAATGTTCTATATATGTCTGTTAAAACCTATTATTTGATACCTGTTGTTATTTCCATTGTTTCATTGTTAGGTTTCTGTCTG